GCTGCGTAGCCACAGCTGCCCTGCCCTCGCCGGAGGCATACAGGGTCTTACAAATGCTGCGTAGCCACAGCTGCCCTGTCCTCGCTGGAGGCATACAGGGTCTTACGAATGCTGCATAGCCACAGCTGCCCTGTCCTCGCTGGAGGCATACAGAGTCTTGCAACTGCTGCATGTCGACAGCTGCCCGGCCCTCGCAGGAGGCATACAGGGTCTTACAAATGTTGCATAGCGACAGCTACCCTGTCCTCGCTGGAGGCATACAGGGTCTTACAACCGCGGCATGTCGACAGCTGCCCTGTCCTCGCAGGAGGCATACAGGGTCTTACAAATGTTGCATAGCGACAGCTGCCCTGTCCTCGCTGGAGGCGTACAGGGTCTTACAACTGCGGCATGTCGACAGCTGCCCTGTCCTCGCTGGAGGCATACAGGGTCTTACAACTGCTGCATGTCGACAGCAGCGTAGAAGGGCTTGTAGTAGCTCAGCGACGGTCACCACGTCTTCTTGCACAGGTATACACGGACTCGTAGTAACTCATAGCGACGGTTGCCGGATCTTCTTGCTGAGGTATACGTGGGACCCATGTCATGGGTCTACAATATCGCGTGGCGACGTAGGAGCAGCGATCGAGGTGACCATGAGAGACAGCTACATCAGAGAGCCCGAACAACGCAAAGTTCGATCTAGAGTGGGCACAAAAGCAAGCAGGCATATGATGACCTAAGGCTCCATTACTCATGAACCTCACGATTGGCAACGTTAAAATTCAGAAGATCCTTCAGCCCGTGACCCTGTTATGACAAAAGGAAAGCGGGGAGGATCCGCTCGCCTCACCGTTACATCTCTGCAGTGCGAATTGGTAGCGGAGCGACGCGACCATCCGCATCGGTATTTAACCTAGGTTAACAAGTTAACCTCTATTAATAGTTGTAAGATTTTTGTTTAAGTTACGAATTAATTTAAAAATGTACTTGCAGAGTTTCGAACCAGCGACTGTTTGGCGGAACGTAGCGAGTCGTCTTGTGTTGTGCCTGTTACTGGGCAACACAACTAGTAGCCAGACTTCAGTGGATAGCGTAGTCGAACTTCACAGCAAGGGCAGACCTTCGTGGAAGGGCAGCCGAGTGAGAAGGATCAAAAAGGAGTTGTAACTCTACTTATCCTAAGTTCATGATCACACAGTGCGCATACGTGCATAGCGCGATCGATGGCGAGCGAATATAAGTGATCAGACGATAACGATTACAAGGGCGAGCGCGTAGGGCGCGATCCCTACACTCCCCCCCTCTTAGTCTGGATCACGCTAAGAGGATAAGAGATAATTATAGCAGGCAATAGTCAGAGCAGATAAAAGGGCAGCAATAAAAAGAGACTCCACCAATCCAGCAAGTCTATCATCTCCATCCGCGAACCAAACCAACCAACTAACCAACCGGCCGACCGACCATTTCACCGTAAGGGCTTATTCTCTCGAGCTAGTTCTAGTGGGTTACGATTACCTTCGTAGAGGCGCAGGTTCCGATCATGAGCAACACGAAAGGAGCTGCCAAGGGCATTGTCGTAGCATGCTTGAGTAGGGTATTGGTCAAACCATTCGTCGTCATGAATCTCGAAGGGCTTAATCAGGGAGCGATCGAAACTCCATCCCAAGGGCATAGGGAATGTACCGTCACATTGAGTAACAGTGCTACGACTCAGCGTCATCGTAGACCTCAATAGAACAGCTTCAGCCGCAGTAATAGATGAAGGCCTTCTAAGGACACCAACACCTTGATCAGGGGACTCGACAACATGGCTAGTAAAAGCGGCGAGGGTCAGTATTTGGGTCCAAGTCGAAGTCGTCAATCCAACCGAGGTCTTTGAGAGCACCGGTAGCATCACGCACCTTGTGGGGGTAAGAGACATGCATGTCGACATCGGCGTGGGGAATAATGCTGACCAATGGACAAGGGCGAGGCTCGAACACGCGGTAAGGGTCATGGTGACGGTGGAACTCAAAGGAGTCGGCACTTTTGTCTAATGTGAGAAAAAGGGCTTCGACAGAGAATCCAACGTAGTCAAAGGCTGGACGAGGGTCATGTAAGTATTCTTGTATCGTCTTCTGGTTGATCGGGACCATCGGAGTTGTCGGTGTCAATGGAAGCATCATCAGCATCGTTGTCGTAGTAGTTGTTAGTAGCCTTAATAGCAGTAAGGGCAGTCGAGTCGTCAACATGTGCCGAAACCATGGCGTCAGTCATCAAGCTTGATCACGCATACTACGCGGTGGCGCCGAAGTCGGGACATATGATGAGGACGAACCGCTAACGGCTTGTGGTCTAGTCGTGGTCGGGGAGGTTGAGTAATGATAGGCGGAGGATA